ACAACTTTGATCACCCGTCAAAATTTATTGGAGCTTGGATGGGATGTGTTGCCACAACCACCATAGTTGCCTGACCTTGCGCTGTCAGACTTCCACTTGTTTCGCTTTCTTCAAAACTCCTTGCGTGGTATAACATTCAATTCAGATGAGGCTGTAAATCAGTACCTTGTTCAGTTTTTTGCAAATAAAGACAGGTCCTTCTATGAATGAGGAATTATGAAGCTCACTGAAAGTTGGCAAAAGGTTATTGAACAAAATGGGCAATATATCATTGGTTGATATTTGCTCTTTATATAAATAAATGACCTTTGAAAAACATAGACAAAATACATCATGACTTTTCTGACAACCCAATAGGAATACCTCCAATGAGTTATTACCAACCAAGGGCACAAGGAGAACATGTAATATTGTACCCAGAGCACGTGCTTGTCCCTCAGCCTGAGCCACAGTGGCCCACTCGTTCTTAGAAGTTACTGACCAGCGTGCTTCTATCCTGGGCCTTTGTATTTGCTGTCTGATTTGCTGGAACATTCTCCCCCAGACATCTGCACAGCTCACTTCCTCATTCCTTCAGCTCTTACTGTCCTCTCATCAGTGAGGCCTTTTCTGCCCTGCCTGCACAGAGCAGTGACCGTTTCCCATCCACTCCTGCTGTGTTATCGAGTCACCGTCAGACACACCATCCGTGTACTTGTTTATTTGTTCATGGTCTGTGTCCCCACCAGAAGGGTGTCTCCGGAGAGCAGGGACTTTGTTTCCACCGCTATTTTGTCCACCCTTGGAACAGTGGATTGAGCTCAGCACACAGTGTGACTCAGTGACAAATGACCGATCCCCAGCCAGGTCAGGACTGACACCTTAAACATTCTGTGTGTGCTTATCAAGACTCAAGCCGAGAAAAGATGGTCAACAGTGTTACTTTTTAGATTACAAATTCACATATGTCTTCGTTGACAAATGATGTTTTCATTAACAGAAAACCAATGTTCTTGTATGTCAGTTTCACCAATTTCTTCTCTCTCCCCCCAGTAGGTGGTGCTCCATCGTGACACCCGCACCATCAAATCAAGATGGTGGACACAGAAAGCCTGATTTGCCCTCTCTCCCCGCTCGAAGCTGATGATCTGGAAAGCCCGTTATCTGAAGAATTCCTACAAGAAATGGGAACCATCCAAGAGATTTCTCAGTCGATTGGTGAGGACAGCTCCGGAAGCTTTAGTTTTACAGAATACCAGTATTTAGGAAGTGGTCCCGGATCAGATGGATCCGTCATTACAGGTAAGTGGGCTGTTTCCTAGAAAGCGTTATTTGGAAATGTTTTTTTTCTGCAGAGAAAAGTGTTCTTTTTAGCTGGAAAAGGAGTCACATCTTCCTGCAATGAGACCTTTAGACAGGATAAAGCATTATATCCACTGCCAGTGGGCCTTGCAGCTTTCGGGTGTGTCTTGCATCTCATAGTATGCCTTCTTTTAAAAGCTATCCACAAATCAAATAATGTTTGAAATTCAGTTAAGGCTGTCAGGTGCATTTTTTAAAAATGCTATGCGTTTATATTTCTTTAAAGCAGAGGCTCCTTTTTAAGTCTGGACATGTATATGAACCACCTCCCCACTTCTTGTATTAAGAACGACAAGACAGATAGAAATAAAACATGAGGTTTGCTCAGGGAACCTGTGGCGTCATCGGGAAACAAGACGTGAAACAGTTCATCCTTCTAGGCAGCGCTTCAGCCAACTCAGGATGATGTGGTACAAACTGCACCTCAGTTTGAAGGAGGCTCCGTCTGTGGTGGACTTGACCCCACAGGGCTCCTGTCAGAGGTGGGGCTTGGGTCTGGACGGAAGAGATTGGGCTTGAGACTTGTGGTTGGGAACAAGGTGTGTGTGTGGGTTTTGACAGGGGCTCTCTGGGAAGCGAGAGGAGGTTCTCTGGTGCAGTGTTTGGTGAGAGGTCTCAGGGTTCTGTCCCCTCACGGTTCCCCTTGTGTCGAGTTCTTGGCCTGGAGCACGTGTCCCCAAACTGTCTTCTCTCTCATTCCCACTTCCAGGAAGACAGTTTTCATGACAGTGCGCCGACCTTAGTGATTGTGGGCTAGGGAGCATTTACACCCATGGCAGCAGCACGCACGACGTCACCCGTGTACAGAGAGTAGCCGCAAGTGCATGTGCTCTGAAACCCAGCAGGCCCGCTGGGGACAGACGTTGTTTACAGGAGGTGTGTACAAGAGTCTGATTGCAGCTGTATCTGTGATAGCAAAGAATAGGGAATGGGGGATATGGAAAACCTTTTCATACACTTATTTGCTGTATACCTTCTTCGGTGAAGTTTCTGTCCAAATGTTTGGCCCATTTTTTAATTGAGTTGTTTTCTTACTGTTGACTGTTGAGAGTTATTTATTCTGGATACAAGTACTTTATTACCTGCAAGATGTATACATTTTTTTCCTCCCAGTTTGTGGTTTGTCTTTTCTTCCCCTTAACAGTGTCGTTCAAAAAAGCTTAAGTCCTTAATTTTTATGAAGTCTTAACATATCAATGTTTTCTTCATTCATGGATTGTGCTTTTTTGTGTAATATCTAAGAAATCTTTGCCTGACACCAAATCACTTTTAGAAGTTTTATATTTTTAGCTTTTACATTGATGTCTAAAATTCATTGAGTTAATTATTTTTTAATTGCCTTTGTACTTTTGTCAAGAGTCAACTGCCCATATATGTGGGGGTCTATTTCTGGACTCTCTATTCAGTTCCATTGATGTATTAGTTTGGTGCAAACATAATTGCGGTTTTTACCTTTACAAACAGTGGCAAAAAACCGCAATTACCTTTGCACCAACATAATATTCGTTTTCTTTGATACCAGTACCACAGATCCCAGATTATTATAGCTTTATAATAAGGCCTGAAGTCAAGTAACATAGGCTTGCCAACTTTATTCTTCTTTTCTGAAGATGTTTTGAGTGTTCCTGGTCCTTTTCATTTCCATATTAATTTTAGAATCAGTTTGTCAATTTATACCAAAGGAGCCTGTTGAGATTTGGATTGGGGCTGCGTTGAATCCAGAGCTCAATGTGGGAGAACTGACATCTTAACAATATGGAGTCTTGAACCATGAACTTATTTCTCCATTTACTTTAGGTCTTCTTTAATTTCTCTCAACAATGTTTTGTAACTTTTAGTGTACAGGTCTTTCACATTTTTTTGTCAGATTTATTGCTAAGTGTTTCATATTTTTTATGCTATTGTAAATGGTATTTTTTTAAATTTCATTTTCTGATCATTTGTTGCTATTTAGAAAAATGTGAATTTTTTGTGACTATTGATCTTGCATCCTACACCCTTGCTAAACTGATAAAGTAGTTCTAGTAGTTTTTATAGATTCTTTAAGATTTTCTACACAGATAATTATGTCATCTGTACATAAAGACAGTTTTACTTCTTCCTTTTCAAGCTGGGTGTTCCTTATTTCTTTTTCTTGCCTTATTACACTGATTAGACCCTCCGGTACAACGCTGAATAGATATTGTGAAACATCTTAGCTTGTCCCTGATCTTAGGGCAAAGTATTCAGTCTTTCACCACTGAGTATGATGTTAACTATAGTTTTTCACAGATGCCCTTTATCGGGTTGAGGAAGATCGCTTCTAATCCTAGTTTTTTTTGTGAGTTTTTATCAAAAAATGATGTTGGATTTTTGTCAAATACTTTTCCTGCATCTAGTAAGATAATCAAATGGTTTTTCTTTTTTAGTTCGTTAATATAGGAAATTACGTTGTTTGATTTTCAAAGGTTAAGACCACCTTTCATTCCCAGGATGAATCCTACTTGGTTATCATGTGTTACCCTCTTTATGTATTGTTGGATTTAGCTTGCTAACATTTTGTTAAAAGAGTTCTTATGTCCATGTCCATGAGGTTTATTGGTTCTAGTTTTCTTCCTTGTAAAGTCTTTGTCTGGTTTTGGTATCAGGTTAATGCTGGCCTCCTGGATGATTTAGGAAGTATTTCCTCCTCTTCAGTTTCCTGGAAATATTTCTGTAGAATTGATTTTCTTCCTTAAATGCTTGGTAGATTTCACAGATGAAGCTATGTTTTTTGTTTTTTGTTTTCCCCAGTCTTATTTCTGTCTGTGTTTCATTTTGGATAGTTTATTTTGCTGTGTCTTCAAGTTTACTGATCTTTTTTCTGCATTGTCTTACCTGCTCCAATTCCCATTCAATGTGTTTTTCACATCAGATACAGTTTTCATCACTGAAAGCATAATTTGGTTCTTTTTTTACCCCGTCTTTACCTAGCATTTTTAGTCTTTCATCTAGCTTCTTGAACATTTAGAATACAGTCATAATAACTTTTTAAAATGTCTTATCCACGAATTCTGTCATTTGTGTCATTTCTGGGTCTGTCAGCTCATTGATTTTTCTCCTTATCCTGGGTCCATATTCTGCTTCTTCGTGTGTTTTGTAATTTTTTTATTGGATACCATACATTGTGAGTTGTGTTGGTGATGGGTGTTTTTGTATTTCTGTAAGTATTCTTGAGCCTTGTTCTAGGATGTAGTTAAGTTACTTGGAAAATGCTTTATCCTTTCAGGTCTTGTTAATAAGCTTTGTTAGATAGGACTGTAGCAGCATTGATTCTAGAGAGAATGTTTCCTGAGTACTGAGGCAAAACACTTTCAAGTACTTTACCAAATGTCCATGAATTCTGAGACTTTCCACTGTGAATGGTGGGACCAGGACTATAGCCAGCTCTGTGTGAGCCCCTGATATTGTCCGCTCCAATCATTTCAGGTTGCTACTGGAGTGTCTTTCTTTAGGCTCTCTCAGCTGACAGAGAAAAGCCATATATGTGTATATACTAAGCCATGGATATACACATATCTATAAATATTTCCATAGGTAGCCATCTGCATCTATATGAAGGTAAACATGAATTTATACTGGTGTCTGCAACTCTAACCCATCATGGATCATTCTAGCCTCTTCCTTTCATTGATCTGTACCCTCTCACTCCAACAGCGAGTAACCTGGCTCCCACCATCCACTTAACCAATTGTTCATTTTCCGTGTACAGGTATAGCAGTTTCAGAGTTGTTAACCCATGCCCGTTAGCTGCTTTACCAGCTAACGTGTGGCGCTTATGTTGGTTCCTTTTGCCTTTGGCCTCAGACTCCACTCATTTCTAAGGTTCCTTAGGTCAACACGGTCTCCCCACCTTTTCCAGGGGACTTGTTTCATATATTTGTAATACAGTCACATTCTTGTGTCACATTCTGCATTCCATCCTGGTCTCCCCAACGTCCTGAATTATTTTTGTTTTATTTGCAACATTAAGGTTCACTCTGTACTATAAAGTTCTGTGGATCTTGACAAATGCACAGTATCGTGTATCCACCATTACAGTTTCACATGAATAGTTTCACCACCTCCAAAAACCCCCTGTGCTTCACCTCTTCCACCCTGCCTGCCCCACCCCCACCCCAGCAGCCGATCTTTTAATCATTGCTATAGCTCTGCCTTTCCTAGAATGTCAGGTATTCAGAATCACATAGTATATAGCCTTTTCAGACTGGCTTTTTTTTTCAGAGCAAAAGGTTTAATTTTAAGAAAGTCCAACTTATTTTTTTCTTTCACGGGTGATGCTTTTGGTGTGGCCCACATGGATTTTCATACAGCATTCTGGTGCAATTTACTGAGTTAAAAATTGCAGAAAAGCTGGAAGGAAGTAGACAAAGTAATGAGGTTGGTAGGACGTGTCAAGTGCGGGGGCCTGGGGAGCCCCTCAGCGGCGAGGTGTCTGAGGCAGCTGGATCTGCGTGTCCGGAACGCAGGGACCGCTCAGTAGGCACTTTGGAGATGCCAGCATGCTGGCGGTCCCAGGAACACGGAAGGGGGTGGGACGGCCCGGACAGGGGCTGACTCAGCATGGGGGCTCTGCCCACTCAATACCTCGCACGTGAAATCATCTCCTCATGAACCTGATTTAGGCATAGCTGGGGATGCCTGGAAAATTCATCAGTCTTTCCCGTCTGTTCTCAGACACCCTTTCACCAGCTTCGAGTCCCTCATCAGTCACTTATCCTGTGGTTTCTGGAAGCGCCGATGAGTCTTCCAGTGCAGCGTTGAACATCGAATGCAGGATCTGTGGGGACAAAGCCTCTGGCTACCATTACGGGGTTCACGCGTGTGAAGGCTGCAAGGTACGGAGGGTCCTGGAGGCCGACAAAGGTGGCCCGCTTCAGGGGCTGCGTGTGTGTGCTTCCTTATGTTTTCTACACGGTGTTTGTCATTACAAAAATGGATCTGTAGGAAGCCGCAGATGAGAATTTGACCCAAGTGATAGACTCATTCCTCTCTTCGGAGAGTCTTTGACAGGTTGCTGACTGCACTTGGTGAAGAATGTAGAGAAATGTGTTCTTTAAAGGAAAACAAACTACATGAAGAACAAGCCTCCATAGGGCCTCTGGGTCAGAGAGCTTTTCCTACTTTCTCTCTCGATCCTCACCCGAACATCAGGGAGGGCAGTGGTTCTCATGACGATCAGAGACCTGCGGTGTCTTGCTCCGCATTCCACAGCACACGCCGGGCAACAGCCGGACCCGGTGCTCTTTGCTACCTAGCTGCTCCTGACCCCCCAGCAGGCCTTTTCTGCACACCAGGGGTCTCTGCACCCAATTCACGAGCACCTTTGTGCACGCCCTCTATTCTCGTGCTAGTTCAGCCAGACAGCTACACAGAACATGAACCAGGACCAGCAGAACAGGAGGCCAGCGCGTCCTCCAGCATTCTGCCCACGGGGTCACTGGCACTGCCGTGACTTTCCAGCATGAGGTCAGAGGGGCCACATCCTGTGATACCCTGAAGCTGCCCTGCACCACTGCCTACTTGTAGAACTATATGCGTACTCTCAGGTTTGGCATTTCGTATACATGATACATGGGACAGCCAGTCATCTGAATGTCTGGTTAACATCAGAAATCGCCTTTCCTTGTACACGCTGAACATGTTTACTAATTTCTGGAAAATGCCACAGCCTTTACGCACAGTCTGCTTTCTTGAAACACCAACATCCTGCCCCGAGCCAGGTGTGGTCCACAGGTAGGATGGGCCATGGGAGTCAGGGCATCCCTGCCTCCTGACATTTAAATTCTCTTCTCACCCTTTCTCATAATCTCATACATTTTTTTGGCCATCCTACTTTACAAACTAGTTAACTGATCAAGTAACAATATCAACCTGCCTCTTACATTTCACAAGACATTGCCGTTCCCTCTCAGGTGGGTGAGTCAGGCCTACACGCGGAAATGTGGAAGAATGACTGGAAAGCAAAGAGAAGAAAGAACCCAGTGCACATATAAACTCCTTCACAAGTTTTCTATCCACATACCTTTCAAAAAGCTACTTGTAAAGTAGCATTTCTGCATGATTAAGTTACTTTTGTTTAGTTTTGTTTTTTTATGAACTAAATAATAATGTTGTTTCTTACTAGGTAAAGTTTAAGGTGCTTTTATAAAGCAAGAAAATTGTTTGCATAGAGCTGGCTTCCTTTTACTATATTTTATTATAAT